TTACTCAAAACTTAAGAAAGGCCAAGAAATAGTGTTCTATAAAGAGGATTTCAATTTGGCATTTTATTCCTTTTGAATAATCTGATCGTTTTGTTCGATATTTACCTCTGAAGTCTCCATTGAAGTTTGATTTTCGGTTTTATGCTTTTTCGTGGGACGATCAATATCCAACAATCTAGCATCTTTTTCCACTATCAAACTTCTTAACCATTTAACTTCCATTTCAAGTTCTTTAACTCTATTTTCAAAAGCCTCTGCTTTTGAACTCATTTCTTTAGCAGTTCTCTCAAGCGCCTGCTCGCGCATCTTTTTCTTTACACGAAATCTAGCAGATGCTGCAGTGTTACGCCTTCGTTTATCTTCTTCAGCAGCTAATTTAGCGACAGCTTCGGGATCAAGTGATTTCTTAGAATCAATATCTTCTGTTTTTGTTATATCACCAACAGTTAGTTGACTGGTTTTTCCCATTGAATTATTATGAGACAGATAGTTCGTAGTATCAGCAGTGACTTTTAGAGAGCTCGGTGATATTGGTGATATTGGTGTTGGTGTCATAGCTGTTTCTTCTTTAGTTGCAATTACATTTGTATGAGAAGCTGAGTATGTTGGAGAAAAAGTTGAGCTACTTGGTGTTGTGGTAACAGCTGGAGCGATAGTAATAGGCCGCATGCGTGTATTCATGATAGAATTTGCTGTAGGATCAGTGAACATAGGATACACCGTTGGTTGAAGTTGAGACGAATTGGAAATGGACGACAGGTCTCTCTGAACAATCATTGTAGGTTGAGCAATTATGTCTTGATCCTCACATACGGTATTTACACCTGGTGAGACTTCGAAATCGTTGTCTGGAAAGCTCAACCCATGTGAAACGTCAATAAACTGTACATTAGACCAAAATTCTAAATCTACATTGGGATCTTTATCTTGAGTAGATTCTGACATCAAGTTGATTGGAGTCCAACTGTGAAATGTATGAATTATAGGTATCATGATTTGAAGACATTATTTTATTACTCTCAAGGGTAGAAATCTATTGCGAAAAATTTTTTTAAGAATTTGCAAAAAAAAAAAATCTACACTTTTCATAACTTACATAAAATAAGAACTATATATAGGATCTTTTTGCTAACAAAAATAACCCTACGAGCAATGATCTATCCGATTTTTTTTTTTTTATCTTTAATTTGTAATAGTAATATCATACAGATCACAAAAAAAAAATTGTTATCTGATGATCTTTCATATTATTGATATGCAGTAATTCAAATTCTCATGTATAAATTAGTCAGCTTTTCGATGTTTCGATCACATTCTATTCGCGTATATGGTTACGTATTAACTATGTATCACGTATAATTTTGTAAAAAACCGTCCCAGTTGGGATGCAAAGACGTAAATCGATAAATTACTAGACTAATCCCAGATCATCACTACAACTTGTACAACTTTAAATATAAATTTAGTTCGGAAACGGGTAGAAAATTAAGCATGATCACTGTAAATGGCTGGGATGTTTTTAATTGTCAAATAACAGAAAAGCTATTTTTCTATCATTGTATTACAGTAATTTAGGACCGATAGATTAAATTTCTTCACACTGGTCCCTTCGCCTGAAGATGCTACGTACTGTAATTTGTTTTACCGATATTTACAGTATTCCTGGAGCACCCTATTTATCCGATTCGATAAGTTTTGATTTCGGCATAATTATGCCGAAATCGAATTAAGAATCTAATTGTTATCAAGAACAATGAAAATATCTGTAAAACTTGCATAAAATCGGTTAACAAAAAGACCGATTACATAGTAACATCACTATCCTTATCAGTTAAATTCTGTTTTCAATAAAATTCAATTCAAATGATATGTTGTCAAAATAAATTAAAATCTGGGATTAAAGTTAC